TCACTTTTCCAGTATATTAAATCCACAAACATCTTTTTTACACTTTTAGTCATACTATTCAAAAGCAGCACGCAATCACGTGTGAAACATGAAAAATCGAGGGATGGAAAAAGACGCCGTCCATATGTTGTCCATTCAAATGGGAAAATTCACTTGCTGAGGCCAAACAGCTGGAAACGCAATCAGCAGACGTTGTTACATGACTCGATGAGGCCTGCCAAGATGTCGAGGTTTTTGAGCGGGCCTCATCTGAGTGACACCCCCGAACGCACCAAGTAGCTGTGCACGCTGTCGACGGTGGCGAGACCACAATCCAAGCAAGTCCCAGTGGGAGGAACGCGTGGAATGTTAATCCACTTTTGATATTGCGACTTCTCAGAGATCGTGCGCGTCACATTTGATACTATACAGCGTGGATCAAATTCTCAACATGCTCAATTCACACTTTGTAACACCGGTGGAGAAGCTGTGCAGAGCACATGGCCTTCAGCAAGGGGATTTTCACACATTCAGGTCAGAAAGGGTCTCAGTACTGTTTAGTACTTCCCACAATGCAGTTCCTTCCTCATCAAATGATCCAATGTGAATCAAAGCCCTGCTGATCTTCAGATTCCAGAAGCATCCGTAGAAGACAGCTGACAGCATGACGTGTAAAAGCGTGGTCTGGGTCATGTCGGGTCTCATCAACACGTGTACTTTACTGTATTAACAAAAAAAGAAATTCTCAGCATAACAGATGAAACTGAAACTTTGTGTGGGATGTGCGTTGAAACTGTAACCACAAAATAAATATTTATCTTCGGTGTTCATGACATTTCATTTTGATTCGTCCGTATCATTATATTGCTTATTTGTTATTAAATTGGCTGTTGCATGGTACCTTTTTCTTTTCCTAGGCATTCTTTTCTGTCAGATGTACTTTTCATTAGATATATATTGCTCTCCCCACTGCATTAAAAGATTTCATCCATTACATATCATTTTCTTTTGTAACGTTCTAAAAATTGCTGCAACATTTGACCGAATTGTAAAATCCCAACACTGCATTTGCTTCTTGATAATGAGAACTAACTCAAATGTTTGGAAATGTGCTTTTTCACAGTTTTTGATGAGGGGGAGCAGGAAGCAAGCTACTTTAGCTTAGAATAAGGACTGGTGGGAAACAGCTACCTTCGGTATGCTAAACAGTTACAACAAACAAAGACGTCTTGAGATTCAGATTGAGAAGTGTGTGTTTCAGAGAATGAATTCTATACCTAATACCAATAGAAAAAGAACAACATGCCTTTGTTCAGAACAAACAGTTCATATCGCTTGAAGAATCTTCCAAAACATACCCAGTTTGTGTAGGTGGTTGGAGTGTGTATGTAAAAAAAAACATTGAAAGAAGGTTAAAACTGAAGAAAAAAAGCTCCACACATATAAACATAGATGCAGTCTGTTAAGGGCCCAAGCTCCGTGCTGATGAGGCTGCCGTTACAGTTCACACTTTATAGATTGCAGTGCAGCGTGCCAAGTTCCTTAAAACAGAGTTATGCAGACCGCTTTCCAGGTTGAGTAATTCCTTGAATTTGCATGTTCTGAACCTCGACCTTTACTCCCACACAACACAGAGGTGGAAATATTATAAAATGTTGGGCTCATTCAGACTCATTGCTGCGGTGACCAACCAACCCAGCAGCGATTACACCAGCTGTGAAACATGTCTGCGCCCATCGCACAATTATTTCTTCTTCTTAAAGGGTGATATTGTTGCGTGCTTGGTTCCAAACAAGCAAATGTAAATGACTGCACGGTGTTTTCGTCTTTTGCACAAAACCAAAAATTCCACTGGAACTTTTCTGACATCCCCTCCGCTTCACTATCAACGTGTAAAATCTGAGCAGCTGTTCCTCTGCGTGTGCGCGTCTTTGCAAAATGAAAGTGTGACACCCAGCTGCAGCAGCTTCATTCATGCGGGTGTCATCTCGTCCAGGAAAGCCCGTCTTAGGTTACTGGACATTGTCAGAGCAGGTGCAAAGAATCATCTTCCCGTGCGCGTCTCTGTTAGCGGCTTTTTTCCCCCCTGTAATCCACCTTTCCTTCACCTTTCGTTTCCCTTTCTCCAGCCTCAAGGCAGGTTCCCCTTATGCGACACTTTCCCTAATGGTGAAGTGGTGATTGTGTAGAGGGGTGATTGTGTCTCTGAGTTTGGAAGATGTGACAAGTCTTGGTGGCAAAAAGTATGCAAAGCAAAAGAACCCGGGGGGGGTTGAGGAATTCGCAGAAGTTTATCGGGTGATTCACAACTGAAGACTCTTTAGTTCATGACAACATTTCACAGAAAAGGGAAGTAGAATTACCACAGGCTCAGGAATGGATGCCAGCCGCAGGATAGCAGATTTGCGGTCACATACAAAGGCCTACAGATGGTGGCTGCATGCAGCTGCATGAACATAACCTTTTCACAAGGGTTTTTCACACAGCATTCTTATCTTGTTTTACTGGCAAGTTGTAATTGTCATGCAAATGTGGTACGTGTCACCTGAAACCCCAGAAGACCTGCATCCAAAAGAGTAGTGAGAAATCATACACAATGAGAAACGGACTTTGGAAAGGCCACGGAGGGAATTTGGATTGACTGTAGGTTGTGAATCAGAATCAGAAGACATTTATTGCATAATTGTCGCATAATTATTCTGTCTTGCTTTTGCTATGTTCAGTAGGGCCGTCATATAGTTACTACTCCAGAAGACCATCGTTTATCTTTAATACCAAACAACTTTCAGTACCTACAATACAGGAGAGGTCATACAGCATCCCTTTGCCACCCGGCCCGTGTTACAGCAAAAGATGCAATAGAATAAAACAAGAAATACACCTATTTGTGTTCTTTCAAAGAGAAGAATGCTAACAATTTCATCATGGCGGATACGGAGCCAGGATGTGGTTTGTCTAGCTTAGCATAACGACTGGGAGCTAGTCTGGCATTGCACAAAGTACAAATATACTCCCGCCAACACCTAAACAGCTTGTGCTATATCTTGTTCATTTAAATTGCACTCAAACAGTAATGTTTACTCAAACAGTAATGTTTGAGTAGGGGGAGTTATCCAGATTACCCAGCCGCCCATCACTGGGCCGCAAATTATCATCGGTGAGCTCAGGCTTAAGAAGAGGTTGCCGCAGGTGAAACGAGGTAAACGTGGAAATCTCAAAGTGACGACAAGGTGTTAACTCCAGGAAGCTGGCGGCACTCTTTGCACTCTGACCGTGTTTTGGTTTATATTTCTGGCCATGTAGCGATTCATTTACACAGCGACATCACGAGCACACCTCACGCGGCCGCTCGGACCTAATGGCTGCGATGATACAGCGCGGGGGCTGATTTGCTTCTGCTAACGGATGTTGGTGCAATACTACTGTTGCATGGGTCACTGCGGAAGTCCTGCCTCTGCCTTGATCCAATTAAGCACTAGAGAAATGAGCAACGATGAGGTAAAGCCTCTCTCGGCCGGGAGTTGTATTTGTTCCTGCCACGCTGCAGGGCTCTGTTTCATTACCATTGTAAAAACGTAGAAAAGGAAACTACTCCTGCTTCCCCTTGACATTAATTACAATCTACAGCAAATTGTAGTGCGTTTGACAAATGATCTTTCTGATGATTTCCTGCGGATTTATGAGAACAACTGAGAGTTTTGGTTTGACAAAATCTTTTGTTTTCATGAATAACACTGTCATTCAGGGAATCCACATGACTCAAACCTCTGAAGCAAGACACTGATAAGTTGACAACACTTGGGACCTAAATTCTCACACGGATGTTAAACTGTGTTGTCGCACAAGTGTGCAAGAACACAGTATGTTAACAATAGACATAACGAGAATAGAAATATGCAAAACCTATAAACAGGAATATCACGAGAGGCTGACGTCCGTTCTTATATGACATGATTGGGGTTAACAAGTTGATGTTTTTACAAACAATTTGTGCAACAGACGGTGGGAAAAAAGCAGACAGAGAAGCGAAGCAGACGGCCGTGGCTTAGTGTGACTACCGCGCTCGTCTAGACGGAGAGCAAGGTCCTTCCCGTCATTGTTGGTTGGCATTGAGGGGCTGCAAAACAGGAAATAATGTCTGAGGACAACACACGGCTTATGAACATTAGAAAGTCAAAGACACGTGCCAGAGAATCATTTAAAAATTAAAGTGAATTTAAATTCTAATACTAACATTTAGCAGAGTTTGTATTGCATACGTTTCATTTTCTTCACTAACACAAACTTGAACTTTTAGAACTTGCACCCCTGAAATGTTTTTAGTTTGTCCAACATGAGCTACAACGTTTTTGATGTTATTCAAACAATGATTACATTTTCATTTGACGGGGATAGGGATTTTACGTTTCTCAATCTGTTTTAATCATTCATCAGTGGAATAAATCCATCCATAATATGACATGTCCTCATGGTGGTTTAAGATCAGTATTTGTTTGTGATGGTCTCTTCTGCCATCTTGTGGATCCAGAACTCAAATAGGATATAGTCTTTATGGTTGCTTTCCTTTCTGCCTGTGAATAAAGGTCATTTAATTTAGTATTGCTGCGAAATGCCTTAATACAATCACAACAAAAATGATCATTGCAGCATTTGATCCGCATATCTATTTTAAAAACTTAATCATCATCTTGTTGTGAAAGTGAAAATCCTGAGTAAACATGAAAAACCGAGTTAGAAACTGTTCTTCATTCACATATAAACGTGACTCAATACTTTATACAACCTTGGTATTGAGTGCGAAAAATTGTACAATATTGTACACTAGTTGTTATCTGATGTTATCTAATTATCTATGGTGTTTGAGATCTGATTCCTTCGATAGAATTTGCTCTAGGACAAATATTTTCTTAAAAATATATATTTTATTTCCATGAAATAAACAAATGTTATCGATATCTCGCAGACTGCACGTAGAGTTAAGAATAGGTATGATTTTGTCGTTTATATGTCCCTCTTCGGCTACCTTCGTCGGCCACGTGACCGTGCGTCACAATTGTCCATGTTAGTTAGCTGTTGGTTAGCCGTTGAGCTAGAGCAACAGTCGCTTTTTTTTTACAACATATTTACTTGAATTAAACAACTAGAATGGAGATTGGGACGGAGATAAGCAAGAAAATAAGAGTGAGTAACGTTATATGCCTAATACAACATATATAACCTTTCCCAAGGCCCGGTAAAGATTTGTGTTCCATATGCGTTACTAGCTAACGTTAGCATGCTAGCGCAATATCAGAGTCGGTCCGAATGGTAACCTTAAGGTTTTTTTTATTTTCAAGGCCAGTGGAAGCTTTGGTACGTGAATATGTAACGTGTCCACCAGCCATGTTTACTGACTTATTGGCTACGTTTTATTTGTTTCTATATAAATAACGATACGCAGTGCTATTTCACCGGTCATTAGGATCCGCGCAGCAAGGGGTGCTGTCCATCATTTGTTTGCTTGCTAAATGGTATAATTTTACTTCACGTTCGTTCTGTTACAGGCGGCAATCAAGGGCAAGCTTCAAGAGCTCGGTGCATATATAGGTAAGTGAATGGATGGCTGCTTGATACCCTAATCACACAGTACGTGCGGCAATTAACCTGAATGCCTTCCCTCTCTTTACTGATTTAGATGAGGAGCTTCCTGATTATATCATGGTGATGGTTGCAAACAAGAAAACCTCTCAACAAATGGCTGACGATCTCTCCCTGTTCCTCGGCCACAACACTCTTAAATTCACAGTGTGGTACGATGAAAACAGAATGAATCTTCCACCTGTAACTTTTCTCAGATCTTCATCTCGACACTATACAAGTTCTATCTGTAACATCTTTTGTTTTTACTGGTTTCTTTTAGGCTTCAGGGTGTCCTTGAGAAGTTGAGATCTGTTGCAGTCGGTAAGTCAGACTACGTTTAGGGCAACCAGCTGAAGGGACGTCCATTTTATACTTCGTAGCTTTAGCGTTTCAACTAAACTCTCCTGTTCTCTTCCTCCGTTTTTGTCTGTATGCTTGTCGCAGAGCCTGCATCCCTAAGTGCAAATCCTATCCAGTCTGACGGTGGTACTGTGGGTGAGAAGAACCGGTCCTCTGATAGTGAGGACAGCCGAGCCGAGGACATGAAGGTGCTGATGGTGTCCAGCTCGCGCTCCGATAGGGCTGAAGCACGCGTGTCCAGTTCTGCTTACGAAAGCAGGTGCATAATGCAGAGTTCTCTTTTGCGCTGACACTCAATGTTTCCAGTATGAACCCATGCCAATTAAAAAAAAACGGTATACTTTTGTCTGTCATCAGAAGAGGCAACTTGGAGAAGAATTCCTCTCGGCTTACCTCCACTGTTAAGCCCTTGATGGAGCAGCTCCCGCAAGATGCTGTTATTGACATCAAGCCAGAGATGGATGATGACCTCATTGCCGATGATCCTGTAGAAATGGGCACCAACCACGGTCGAACGCGCGGATCGGCTGGTAGACCCACAGCTGAAATCTACAAACCGGGTCAGAGCAGATTTACTTCATTAGGCTCCTCAGAAAGGTGTCGACCATCAGAAGGATCCTCTCACTCCAGGCAGCAGGACAGCAGAAGCAGTAGAAGCTCCAGAACCGGCTCCAGCAGGGTACTGTGTTTTTGATAACACACGCAACTTTCTGTGGACGTGTGGCCGAGCAGATGTAGTTCAGGAGCCATAATTACAATGATATGTGTCTTATGTTCAGCAGCAGCAGCAGCAGGAGGAGTTGTCACGGAAGCGCAAGGCGCCGGTAGCGAGCTCGGTGGTGCGAGTGAGCCGAGCAGCCGACGAGGACAGCGACGAGGTGGACGAGGAGGATACAGGCTACGGAGGCAGAGGCCTTTCCAGTAGAGTGTCCTTACCCTCCAAACCAGAGCGCAAGTCAGTGTCAACACCTCATGTGTGATTATATAACGTATGGTACACAAATTATTGTGTAATTCACTTCTAATAACCAAAATTCTGTAGCAAATGTGGCTTGTAATCCGTATTTCACTTTGGAGTACCGTACCGTACAATCCGGCAACCATTTATTTATATATATATATATATATATATATAATCTTTGTAATAATCAAACCGCTGAAGTTTAACATCCCTGTGTTGTCTATGGTTTCAGGCCTACTCTGCCTCCAGCCAAGCAAGCCAACCGTAACCTGATACTAAAGGCCATCTCGGAGGCTCAAGACTCCATTACCAAAACTACTGCCTACCCCGGAAGTATGTTTAACGAAATTGGCATGGCAACGCATTCATTTACTGCAGTTTATGCAACTTGGTGGTTGCTCTTATCCCTTACATTGACCTTTTTGACCCCAGTACCAAAGAGGCAGACTGTTCCTGTTGCACCTCGTACTCGCATGGCCAGCAGTGAGGAAATGACTGCAGCCATTCAGCTGGTGCAGGAGCACCTGCACAGCCTGACCCCCAGGGTTCAGACCTACACCTCTGCAGAGCCGCCTCCCTCCAGAACATCTGGTAGGTGACGAGTAAAGCCGGTGCAGCACACGGCGTGCCCTTTTTTTCCGAACACTGCTTTAAACAATCTGCCAGGGTGAAGCCAGAATCCCAGTGAGCTAAACTAATAAATGAATGTAAATAATCTGTTTTCCTCTCAGCTCCGGTAAGATCCTTAGCTTCTCGCCTTCAGTTGGACATAGCCGATAGCAGTGAAAGAGGAGAGGAAAGTGACTACGGTGAGTTTTGTTTTTTGCATCTTGTTTATCCTTTATTTGGCATCTTTAGGCAAGTTCTACATTAAGAGATTCCTCACATGTTTTTTGTTTCCCTGAGAATGTGTAAAGGTGGTACCTAATAATAAATATCCCAGAAGATGGTGTACGGATTGTGCTCCGTAGTGCCATAGACTGAGATGTCTGTGTTTGGGACTTTGTAGGCATCGAGGTCGTTGAAGGCAGTGAGACGAAGCCATTTGATACCCGCTCCTTCATAGTGAGCCGACCGCAGCTGGAAGAGACTTCAACCAGAAGCCAGCTTCATCCTCAGGTCAAAGGGGAAGTCCAGTCTGCCGTACCGCGCACTCTCCAGTCCGGGTACACACACACACACACACACACACCCATGGACAAATGCTATTAGAGTTAATTCTCAGTTCTTTTCATTTATACAAATGCATTTCTATTTTCACACCAGTAAGGAGAGGAGTGACTCTGCAAGCCCCAAGTTCATAGTGACATTGGACGGAGTCCCAAGCCCGCTGGGCAATCTCGGTGACAGTGAGATGGAGCTGGAATATGTGAGACCGCCAAAGGTCACCGACTCGACCATCCTCGCCAACAGACAGTCCAAAGTCAGCATCCTTCACAGACTTCAGGGGGGAATCGCATCAGCAGAAGGTGTGGGGTCTCGTCACCGTGATTCTTTACTGCGTTAATTTTAGCTTACATTTCACACACTGTCCTTCAGTACATGCTTTACGTTACTTCGTCTTTTGACAGTTGATGTGATGGAAGTCGAGATGGCGGAAGAGGGGGCCGTCTCTTTAAAGAAACGTAAGGTGACGGAGCGCTGCAAGTTCTGGCCGGTCTGTAACAGTGGAGACGCGTGTTTGTACCATCACCCTACAGCACAGTGCAAGTGAGTATTTCGCTAAAAGTAAAATATACAATAATGGAGTTTTTATTGCTGGGCGCAGACCATACCATTTTTAATGATTTCTATTTGTGTCTCTGAAGGACTTTTCCTACTTGTAAGTTTGGGGATCGATGCCTTTTCGTGCATCCCAACTGTAAATACGACGGCAGGTGCTCCAAGCCGGACTGTCCCTTCACTCACGTCAGCCGAAGAAGCACAGCCGCTCCTCCTCCCAGGCCAGGTGCTCTCATTACAAGTTCTTAAAAGGCTTTGTTTGTGTTGACAGCTCACAGATAAAGCGGCAACATAAAAGAGATGTGAAGATCGTCTAACTTGTGCTCTCTGTGGTTACAGCAGTGCCGAAGATGCAAACCGCGAGTGTGTGCCGCTTCTTCCCAGAGTGCAAGAAGATGGACTGCCCATTTTATCATCCCAAGGTGAGACATTTATAAAGTGTCGAATGTGGAGCTCTGATCTGCAACGGTATTTTGATCATGTTGATTTTCTGCTTTAATTTGAAAAGTTGCCATTTCTTTTTCTCCCATGCCTTCCAGTCGAGACATTTTGCACAAACCCCGAGCAATGTGACTTTGTAAATTTTGTTTTCTCTCATCTACAGCCTTGTCGCTTCGCGGCACAGTGTAAACGAGCTGGATGTACCTTCTACCACCCGACCACAGCGGTGCCGCCGAGACACGCACTGAAGTGGTCAAAAACGCACAGCAGGTGAGCGGACAGCGTGACGCTGCATTCCGTTAAGTGGAAATGTTCAGCTTGTAAACAGTATCCCGTGCATTGAATATTATACCTGATGTTTGATATTCATTTAAAGCCATTATTTAATTGATATCTCAATTATACCTTTTCCATGTACTCATTGCTGTTTTGTCTTTCTCTTTCACAGCTAATAAAGTGCAGGCAGTCTCAAGGAAGTGGGATGGTGGACATTTGAAGCTATGGAGGATGTTTGCTCTCTGTCTCTATTGATTTTCATTGACTTTCATTTCATTTTAAAAGATGTTTGGGTTAGTTTTAAAAAAATTGTTTTTTAAGATGAAATGTTTTTTTGCTCTCTCGGAATATTAAAATACTCTACATCAAACTTCAATCTTATGCCATCTTGTCCTTTATTTCATGTTCTTTGTGGTTTTGGTTTGAGCGGATATTCACCACTGATGTTCATTTAAGTGATAAGGTAGTTAGTTGCGTGTGTGTGTGTGTGTGTGTGTGTATATATATATATATAGATGTTTCTATTGTGCTCTGTTCTAAAACGATAAGCTCAGGTTCAAGTGATATTCAGAGGCAGACGTTAACGCAGAAAACATGAAACCAACCAAACTACAATTAGAAGTAAAAAGGAAAACAAGCTGCATGGAACTCCTTTTTCCTGTTGCGTGCAGAAAGATTTTGTTTGCTGTAAACATTTGAAAAGTAATGACTTCCTTAACTGTAAACCACGACATGCTGTCAGTTTAGCGCAAGATTTTCTATGAGTAAAATGGTAGATGGACTGTACATGTAAGGTGCTTTTCCAGTCTTTCGACCACTCAAAGCACTGAACCACGTGAGTATATATGAATATATCAGTAACTATCATTCACACACTGGTCCCAGGCCGTGTAGCTGTGATCTACAGTCGAGATTGGTCACAATCAACTCCCCTTATGACATCAAGCTATGTGTATCTTCTACACACACACAGGTGTTGAAAGTGACTACAAGAGGTTAGCTAGTCTTAGCTTTTTTTTGGTTTTAAATTAGTTCAAGAAAAAATGTTCAACAGCTATGTCGAAAAAAACAAGCTATGCATTCTGACTAATTTAGATTTTCTCTGTGTGCAAGGGACACCGCAGATCAGCCAATTGCATAGAAAAGATACAATTCGACAATAAAATGGGACTCAAACAACATTCCCGTCAGATTCTACATGAAATATAATGACTTCATCAGTCTTTACCTCGGCGGCTGTAGTGTAATTCACCGCCGCTAGAGGCCGCTCGCAGCCCGCTGCGTGATGACGTCACCGTAGTCTAAGTCAAAAGCCCCGTGGACGTGTAGGTTTCTCGCCGGACGCGGTGGCGCGCGTCTGTAATCCAAGTCACTGGGAGGTTTAGTCTGGCGGACCGTTTGAACTCAGGAGTTCTGAGCCGCAGTGCTCTATGCCGATCGGGTGTCCTCGCTAAGTTCGGTATCGATATGGTGCTCCTGGGGGAGCCCGGGACCACCAGGTCGTCTAAGGAGGGGTGAAACGGCCCAGGTCGGAGACGGAGCAGGTCAAAGCCCCCGTGCCGCTCAGTAGTGGGATCGCGCCTGTGAATAGACGCTGTGGTGCAGCCTGAGTAATACAGCGGGACCCAGTCTTTTGCGTCCCTTTTGGCGGCTGCTCGTCGTAGCCGCACACGCTGCGGTGTGTTTATACGCTTCAAACAGCAGCGATATTGTCGTTTTCCTTTTTCTTTTCTTACTCACAGGAATCAGACAAGCGGCTGTTGGGAGGGCGCTGCACTGCCTCCACCTGGAGGACACACGCAACTGCAGCTCACGCGGTACCAGGTGACGCCAACTGACTACAAGAGAAGGGATTTGAATCAAACCTTTCGCCTTGTCGATGGTGCACCAACGTTTTCATATTGTGTTGAAAAAGACCTTTCATGAGTGATCAACAAAATAACAGCTGCTGCTGTTGATTTGAATCTACGATGTATGGTTATAATAACCACAGATTCTGCCGGGGGAATTATATTTACCATGATTATAGTTTGAACAGAGGCCAACCTATTTAAACACAATCTATTTAAAGTAGCTTTATGTCAGCACAATACTTAGAACTGCAATTGTTGTCCATTTCCTGTTGCAACTTGCAAATATGCAGATTTTGAAAAAAATAAAAGGCAGCTTTTCACAGACTGGACTTTCTTGACTCATAGCTGACCTTTGTTTTAGCGAGAATATTGTGATTTCAGTACAAATAGACTCAACATATCTAGGCTACTGGTGTAATCTTTACGGTCATCAGTGTCAACACAATTCTTTCCTTTGCCTCAACAATTTGGTAATTATTAGAAACCTCCCACAGTCATTTTCATAGAAGAGCCGCCACAAATGAGGGCATCGCATTTTGCTATCTCAATAGATGGCCCCTTCTGGGGTTTTTCCAAGTAATCGTCGCCTGAAGAAGAACAGAGACTGCTGCTGTTGACAGCAATTGCTGATGTTAATTTAAACTCTGTCTCTGAGGCGTCACTTCCACAAAATTTCACTCAGGATGGACGTTGTGGGAGGGAGCGTGTCGAACTGGAACTCTCTTTGATAAGCTTCTATCAAGCCTGTTCTGGGAAGGCCTAACCGGGGGCCTGATTGAGCTACCTATTTAAAAAAAAAAAAAAGGGAACAATCTGATGTAATACCTCACAAATGCACCTACAGCTCACTGAAAACAAAAAAAAGACTTTTTAAAAAGCCACTTCCTCTCAACATTTAAGAAATGTTACGGTTTGTTAAGAGCATTTTCGGTGGAGCTCAAGACTTCAGAAACAGCTCAGGACAAAGCCGTAGACTGCTCTTGTTGTTTTGCGTATTTGTGCCATATGGTCTCTGTGCCCTAGTTTAAGCAAAAAGTTGACTAATCAGCCTTTTTCTCCTTTTTTTTCTTTTTACAGCCTCAACTCTCTTGTGCAGCGTCAAATGCCAAGTATTAGAAATGTCTTGCCGTGCCTTAGCTCTTCAAAAATTCCTGTGATGGTGGAACATGTTTTTGTGTGGGAGGACTGTTCTGCCAAGCAAAGCTGTTTTGGTCCAGATTCCTGTTTTTTTTTTTTTTCTGCTAACAAGATAATCTTGCACTTGCATCACCCGATGCAACCTCGTGATGGGGGTAATTAAGAAAATAATACAACCGACTTTTTAACAACCACGCCGGGTAGACGTTCGGTAAATACTACCACCCCCCCCAACCTGTACATTTCTTCAAAGATCCCCCAACCTTTTACACTACACAGGGTCATTTAGAGTGAAAGATGATGAGGGAATTCAACGTGGGCCTCTGGGGCGCCCCGAGCCCTCGACACATCCTCGGCTCATTGCTGCAGCTGGCGAGTTGGTGCACTTCTGGAAATTACCATGAAGGGCGTGTGTGTAAATACTCACGACTCAGTCATCCATGTGGAGTTTTAGGATGTGCTGTCTCTTGAGGATTTGGTCGAAAACGTATCATATGCGGCTGCTAGAAAAAAAAAAGAAAAAAAAAAAAAAAGAGGAAGAGGGAATGCCCATGATGTCTGACACCACAAGAAAAAAAAAAAAAAAAGAGAAGTGTCAATCGGGTTAATATCAGGTCTTTCAGGGAAAGTTAGTGTTTATTCTGATTCTGCTGCTTCCAAACATTGTTTTCTTTTTTACATATAGCACCCAGATACATATTTGAAACATTTTGTCTTAAACTGATTATATCCATCACATAAATATTTTAATTCTATGCCCCCCGCCCCCCCTTTGACTCCCCCTCCCAATGTGTTATTTTTCTGGAGTTTACAACATTAGCTTATGTGCTCTGACTTTCCAACAGACATGTGACTTTCAGTCTAATGCAACTTACCCAGACTCTTACCAGAAGCCACATCAAAAACAGATAATTAGGCAGACAGCTAGTCTCACAGTCTGTGTGTCAGAGAGACTGAGAGAGAGAGAGAGAGAGAGAGAGAGGGAGAGAGAGAGGGGGGGGAGATAAAGCGAAAGAGCGCGAGCGAGAGAGTGAAAGAGAAGGAGGAGTGACAGAGATGGAAAGGGGGAAGATAGAGACTCCTTAAGCCAAGTTCTTCTCAACACTTGTTCTGCTACAAAGACTCTCTCTCTCTCTCATCCTCACACGGACACACACAAACCAGACACACACACACACTAAAAAAAAAAGACAAAGCAGAAGTGGACGCGGACACACGGCTTCAGACGGCGGAGTTGGCTATGGCTCAGGGCTCTGACAGCAATGACACGAGTTACAAGTCCCCGTCACCTGGAAGCAGGCCGGTAAGTGCGCTCTTCTCGCCGACGTGCCCGCGTTCACCTGTTTACACCGCGGGAGACCCGCAGGAGACCCGCAGGAGATCCGCAGGAGACCCGCGGGGCAGAAGCAGAACTCCTGCGATAACCCACTGACTCCTCGTGCACATTCAGCTGCTTCTGTCACCGTCTTTTTTTTTGTCCGTCTCACGTGCGCACGCTGCAGCGAGTTGCAAGGCTCCCCTTTTGTTTCGGCGGGTCTCTCAGAGGGTGAGCGCGCTGTGGGGGGAGACAGGGGGGACAGGGGGGACAGGCGGCGTGTTGGAGGGTGTCGTTCCTCTACTGTTGCTCTGACTTGTTTCACATGTGTGCGGCGGCGTCTCTTGCACGTCGCTGCTTATTGTCGTGCTGTAGCGCCGGGGGAAGTAAAAAAAAAAAAAAAAAAATCAAATGTGGTTAGTTGCAGAGAGCCCTCTCTTGTATGTGGACGTAGAAGCAACAGTTTTTTTGACCCCCCCCCCCCCCCCATATTAATGCAGACAGTTCAGAGAACGTTAGATCATTTGTAACCTCTGGGATGCACAACTGAGGGGCCTTAGTTATTACGATACCAAGAGCACGGGGTGAAACAGGGTGTGCGTTGCACCCGTCCGATGACTCAGCCTCTCCCTCAAACCTCCCCCCCCCCCCCCCCTGCCCTGCACATTGAGTGTTAAGCTTAGCCCATCTCCTGTCAAACTGTCACTGTGACAGACAACGCCTCCATTTCGCGCGCCAACCTCCCAGGCGACAGCCAGAGCCACGCCACCAGTCGGCTCTCCGCCCTCTCGGGTTCGAGGAACACCTCAGCCGCTTCTCACGTTGACTGTCGACCTTTTTTGCGTGTTTCTTTTCGCCAGAGCTCCTCGGACGATGCGAAGAAGGTGATGCGGCGAGAGAAGAACCGGATCGCCGCTCAGAAGAGCAGGATGAGGCAAACCCAGAGAGCCGACAGCCTGCACTTGGTGAGGAGGCTTCTCTCTGCAATGCACACCACTCAAAAAGCAACACGACTCGACTCTTGACTTCTGCTTGTTAGGACGTTTTGCCACAGAGGCACAAAAGAACAGGCGAGCCTTAATTCAAGCCTTCAAGGCCATTGTTTTGTCGTGTCTTTATCGTACTGCAATGTTAGGGCATCCCTCCGAGATGCCGTACAGGGTTATCGATGATTCTGCCGCCTCGAGGCCTTTGCCATCTTGTCAACGGTCACCATCCTACTGGGAATGGCTTCGTACTGCATTTAAGAAAACGCTATCTGACCGTGGTGGCGATGTGTCACGGCTTCTGTCGGCTGCCCACTCGGACGCTGCTCCGCGCGTCTGCAGAAGCTTGAGGAATAAATTAGCACGTGTGGGCAATCACTCCCTTTTGCTGCAGAAACCGGCAGCAGAGAGCGCGATACGATTCCGGCCACTTTGTTCTCTTTGTTTTTTGCGTGATAGCTGGTGCTGTTTTTTTTTGGACGTAAACATGGCAAAGATGTCATCTTAGTCCTATGTGTGCAACAGGTCTATACGACGCAACGTCCTCTCAGCTTGGTGATGCAATTATCTCGTGGATCTTTTCGAACTTGCAAGAGCTCCACTTCGCAGTGTCCCACCAGCACGCCCTTCGACGCGCCGACTTATCTTTGACCACTTCCCCGTTCTCGTCGCGCTCGTCGTGCACTTTACCCGATAAACACAGGAGATCTTGACCTTCAGAACACCCACACTAGTTAAAACGGAGACCTGAAGAATACACGTCCCCCCACCCCCCTGTGAAGCGTAAAACATCAATCTCGTTGAAGCCTGCAGTCACAGAGAGCACCAGGGGGCCGCAGAAACACATTCTGCGGTTTCTCTGTCACCGGCTCACTTGATAAACAGGAAGGTGAATTTTCCCTCTCTGTGACGCCGTCTCTTATTTCCTGTTTCTTCAGTAGTATTTCTTTTTTTCTTCTGTGTAAATTGTGTTCCGTGGGCAGAAGGGGAGAAAGAGGCAGTCACTTCTTGTAAAGAGCTGCTTAGCAGTGGGCTGTAGGCTGAGTGACGCAGGCACATGGGGTTTGCCCAAAGGTGCTGTGACCGTAAGGACCCGTAGATCAGCAGCACAATCTTTTGACCACGGAGTGATGACCTTTTCAATTAACCAAGTGGAAGGTTTTTTCCCCTGCGTTTCCCACAACAAGTCTTTTTCTTTCTTTCTTTCTTGCTCGCATACACAGTTTGCTCTACTTTTTTGATCTCCATGAGATTTTTGGAAACCTTTACCTTCGACATTTGACCTTAAAGATTGTGGTGCTTCTTCAAGCTGGAGGCAGTTTTTCTTTTAATCAGTATTCATAGGGCTGATGTTATATCACAGTAAAGGATCTGGGGGGTTGATCTTTATGTTTTGGACTTTATTCATTTCTGTATGAAATGTAAAAGAAGTTGAACAGACTCCTAAAGTTCCTTTATAACGAACTACAACAAAAATAATTTGACTAATTAAGTTATGATATAGTCTTATATATATAACAGTCAATTTCGTCAAGTAATTGCAGGCTAACTGGTGGTGTGCTTAATAGAATTGGATAATATATGTTTTAAACTTCTTTATCTACAGATGTGTAAAGGGCTTCTTCAAACTGTGTCCCCTGCTGGTTTTAAGGTTACTGGAAATGTTTTAGCCACTTTAAAAGAACATTTCCGCCCATTTTACTGCCAAATATTCTAAAAGACTGACCCTAACCCTATACTCTTGAATCACATGTTTTCCTAGCATGGTTGGTCTCAGAATCACTCCTCATTGAACATCATGGCCACAGCACAGTGGTGCTTTGGGTCAAAGGTTAAAGCCAGCGTGCCAACATGCTTAAACTAGCAATGTCAAGATGCTGATGGTCATCACTCCTAGTTTATAACGTTCACCAGCAAGTGCAGCTGAAGCCGAGGGGAAGGCGCTAGTTTTGCAGGCGTGTGATCATAAACCAACACGTTGCACGCCGGATTAAAAGTCACCAAAGTGTAAGGTTCAAAGCAGTGGTCCAACCGACAGACAGCGACGTTGCCACACACACAGCACATACATATGACCACATTTAAATGCATTTGCTGCATGCATATTATGTCAGAATGACATTTGTGGTGAAAGCATGCAAGAAATACCTGTGATTCACACAGTACGACCCCCTCGTATCACTAATAAACAAGCATCGTGTCGCCGTGTGGTTTGCAGGAGAGCGAGAACCTGGAGAAGGAGAACGCCGCCCTGAGGAAGGAGGTGAAGCAGCTGACGGAGGAGGCCAAGTACCTGTCCTCCGTGCTGAGCAGCCACGAGCCCCAGTGCACCGGCCTGGCCCCTCAGACCCCCGACCTCCTCTACCCGCCTCATCACAGCAGCTACCGCCACCAGCACATCGCCGTGCCACACTACCAGCACTGACCTGACCGACTGCCGGGGCCGCCGAGGACGTGCCCGCCAACCCGACCAATGACCTCAAAACGGAGAGAGAGAGAAAGACCAGCTGACTGGAAATGGGTCTACACGTGTTAACTGTTCCATGAAGATTACCACGACCGGCCGGTCCGTCCGCCAAACAGTGACAGTACGGACCCCAAGCTGTGAAAAGCAGCGTTCAAAACTATTTATTTCGCTTGTGCTCATCTCTTTGCTTTCACCTGATTTATTATGAGTGATCTGTATGTGAGCTTAAATGTCGAGTGCGGTTATCAACCAGTCTGTGTTTACATTGGGAGAAAAGGAAGAACCTGCCGTACGATCAGGTGACTCGGGTGGGTACAGGGGAGAGCGCCTGTCGTCACCTTGTCAAGTTTTACTTTCTCGTGTTTATAAATGTGTTTCAGTGTGTAAACGCTCAGGAGTATTTGGACAGATGTGATTGTGGACAAAGAGAATGTTGAGTTGAGATCCTAAAAAAAAAAAAAAAAGGAAACATGAAAAATGGGCATCCAACGGGGTCTCAACTCGTGTGCTGTCGACAATACCAATGTGATAGAAGAAAAATGTATTTATTAAACGTGGTACCTTTTCAAGGATAATTTCTGACCTCCACGTGGATTCCTGCCTTTACACAGTTGTTTTGTCTTCTGACTGGACTGCAGGCTGATTAAAGTCTGCGCTGGGGTTGATAACAGGGGTCACGTGACACGGTGTGTGTGTGTGTGTGTGTGTGTTTCTGTCTGTGATGGGGGAATCCCTAGGTGGCACTGTTCACCATAGATGAAGTGTAGAGTGGCTCACGTTAACCACAGAAATAAACCAGCATCGTTCCCCCCCTCCCTGTGGGCATGAATGAACGCCTGTCCTTGAACACAACACGAGGCCTTCGCGGCATTGCCCCTTTTCTTTTGCCAATCATTTACAGAAGGGGCGTATAGGCGCGCGTGGGCAAAACGGACAACACGACGCGTGCGACCGTTTTTTAAAGCGGGCCACAGCGAGCCAGTAACGCGGCTTGTGTGTTTTATAAATTCCGCTACGCACTTTTGTATCTGCGAGGGTTTGAATCCCGCTACAAGTTGTAAAAGCGGGCGCTGCTATCTGGGGCGCAGCAGGCGGCTGCAGACACCACATAGGACGCCGTGTGAAACCCCGCCCTCATCTGACCGGTTTGGTTCAAGCCCAAAGCGGGTCGAGGTCCGGTTGGAGAGGTCTGACACGTGTGAACACACGGAAGCCCCGTCCTCAACGGATCCTATTGAGCAACTGCACTTTTCTCTTTAAGTTATTGAACTTTCACAGACTTTGAAGTTGCAAGTCCCAGCGCGGAAACTAAACTTTCCAACCGGGGGGAGGAAATGCCGCCCAAGGCTGAAGTTGTAGATTCTACCGCTACGTGCTTCACGCGTATTCTGCGGGTTGAAACGGCGAGCTTCCTCTTTTTTTTTAACATGCAGCTGAAGACCCGCCCAAGTATTCACCAAATGAAACGGGCACAATTTCAGCCCACTTCCCCGTGAACTTTTAAAGTTTTTACGCTCCGTGCGCACCATTTCCCAGACTGCTTCAACATGAACGAGAGAACAGCTGTGCCGTCGGGAGACGCGGCGCTCGACGCCAAGGGCTACTTGGACACCGGCGCCGGGCTGGTGGCGGATGACGCGGTGCCGCGCACCGACGATCCGACCGGGCCGGGCGGCCGCGAGGCGCCGCGACCGACCCGCCTGTACAAGCGCCGCTGGATGATCGTCCTCCTCTTCAGCTCCTACTCGCTGTGCAACTCCTTCCAGTGGATACAGTACGGCATCATCAATAACATCTTCATGAAGTTCTACGGCGTGGACGCCTTCACCATAGACTGGATGTCTATGATCTACATGCTGACGTACATCCCCTTCATCTTCCCGGTGACCTGGCTGCTGGACAAAAAGGGGCTGCGGGTCATCGCGCTGGTGGCCACCGCGCTCAACTGTGCGGGCACGTGGATCAAAGTGGCCAGCGTGAAACCCCACCTGTTCCCCGTCACCTTCCTGGGGCAGTTCTGCTGCTCCTGCGCGCAGGTGTTCATCCTGGGGATGCCGTCGAGGATCGCGTCGGTGTGGTTCGGTTCGGAGGAAGTGTCCACCGCTTGCTCCATCGGGGTCTTCGGGAATCAGGTAACGGCGAGTCATTAAACAGGCCAAGGTGTCTGCGCAACTACCCGGTCACTTACCCGTCGATCACGTGTCCAGGTCTATTAGGAACTTAAGCGTAATTACGCACGTCCCAGGCGCCCGAGAACCGATAGCAGCGAATAGACAATGAAAGAATGCAAGAAGTTCAAGAAATTTTAATTGTAACTGAGACATAATGACATAACGGATCCATCAATCAAGTCAATTTACAATCATTTATTATCAACTGCATTAAACACATGGATGAACGGGGGATAATCATCCTGTCTATTAGGATTCAAACTTTACGCGTAAACAAAAAGAAACAAACTATAAAGGATCCAAATTTGTGCAAAACACCAATACTATTGTGGGAGTTAAAAGGCAGCAAAGGAATACACAATTTAACTAGACCGAAAAGCAACGTCTTTATGATGTCAGCCGATCCGGATGCCCCAGGTCCTCTGGCCGGGCTGCTCCACACACATGTTGGTCCTGGTCCTGAGAAGACCTGAACGAGATTATGAAAAATAAGGAATCTTTGGAAGGAATATCTACTACAAGCATGTTCATCACATCTTCTAAAATTGTGTCGTAGGATCAAACCGAGGGCATAATCTAGTAGTCTGTCTAAAAATGTACTAATGTTGATGCTGAGCTTGCAGTTTATCCAGGTTTAACACACGGCGCGGTGGCACATTACCTGTGGAAACTTTTTTTCTGGATCTCTGACCTTGGCTTCTGTTGGTCACTTTACATAAATAATGCAAAATGCTATAGTACTATAGTATAGTGCTCTTATTCTATTCTGTTTTTCTGCTTAAATTAGAGGCAGCAGGGCACACGAGAAGCCAAATAAGCAGACGGGAGTGCAAAAAGCTGTCGAGCATCAGATTTAACACCAAACAAACAACACTTGAGTCAACTAGCAGTTCAACTCCAAGGAGAATGTCACTGAGAAGTCATCGCTTGGGGCTGGATAATTAGCTTTGCGTAACCCAGAGCACAAACTGTGTTTTTTGAAAAGTAAGAACGCTTTTTGACGCTTTCTGACGACAACCATTCCTCCGGTTTCTGGTTGTTGTGCATTTAGCGTCTTCAGACGAGTTAAACCCCCACATTCAAAACTGCCTCGCTCAACATTTGTTCGGGAATATTTCCTTCATTGACATCACATGACAGGGCTGCAGGAGATAAGTATGCAGACATGTGGCACAGAGGCCCATTGCCATCGCAAGCGGTGAGTTGTGGATCGGGACAATGGTGACTGCGGCTGTGCTCGCTCTCTGAGAACACCGTATTTCCACCACAGGCAGACCGCTTGCAGGGCGGCAAGCAATTAGGACGCAGGCGGCGAAAATCTCAAGACCCCTCGCGCTCCAGGGCGCCCACTTTGGGACGGTGCAACGGCGCCAAGAACCGGGCTCCGGGCCTCGCTTCAATGCCGTGGACTCCAGGACCTTTGGGCAGCGCCACCTCCGTTGGCTCCAGGTCGGACGTCGAGGCCCTGCCGAGTGACCGGGCGCAGCCGGTCCCCGAGGCTAAGACCAAGCCGTACCGACGGCGCTGGGTCATGCTGTTTCTCTTCAGCGCCGTCTCGGCCAGCAACGCCTTCACGCGGCTCCAGTACGGAACCATCGGCGACATATTCATGCGCTTCTACAACGTCGACTCGCTGGCCATCGACTGGCTGTCCGCGATCTATCCGCTCACTTACGTCCCACTCATCGTGCCCGTCCTGTGGCTGCTGGAGAACAGGGGAATCCGGGACGTCGTCCTCGTCGGGTCGGCGTTTAACTGCATGGGTGCCTGGATTAAAATCGGCAGCGCCGATCCGAATCTGTTCCCGGTCGCCTTTTTTGGCCAGTTTGTGTGCTCGGTTGCCACCGCGTTCGTCCTCGGTATTCCCTCTCACCTCGCCTCGGTGTGGTTTGGAGAGAACGAGGCTTCCACGGCCTGTTCCATAGGAGTTGTGGGGCACCAGGTTTGTCTGGGTATCTAATCCAAAAGCAGGGTCCACGTCATGAGGCAGCTGCGTGTAGATCGTGCAGCTCTGCTGGATGCCGCGGTCACACAGGACTTCCAGTGTCTTCGTGCGAGAGTCCAGGCAAAATTGTATTAACTGTTTGCTGAAACCTCTTTGTCTGTTTAGCAGTTTTAGACGTCAAACAATTCCCCAATTGTATTAGTTATGTATAAGTTATTCAGACGCCATGCATCCTTAGTTTGACATTGCTCACACACTAATCAGCGGTTCCCGTCTGAGCTGTTTGTCTTTTGTTCACGTTATCTGTGCTGGTTGTTTCGTAGCTGGGTATTGCCATCGGGTTCCTTGTGCCGCCCATCCTGGTGCCCAACGTGGACGACATGGAGGAGCTGGCGCATCACATCAGCATCATGTTCTACATCACAGCCGGAGTGGCTACCTTCCTCTTCATCCTCGTGGTCATCGGTAAGTTGTGTCACGCGGTGCACACAATACACACCTGTTCTCACTTACTCGCCTGGTTCTAGTGTCCCCTAACCTGATATTTTTGCGGCTGGATGGCGAGCAGAGATGCTCAGTGAAACACTTGACATTTCTTCCCGTTCCTCAGAAACATACTGAGACCTTTTCATGTCCATTGGGGCATTTTTTTCGCTGTGGCCAGTGAGTTTTCGTACTTGGTGGATCCTCTTGGTGATGTTTTTAACTTGCAGCAGACATCTACTCTGACAAGAAGCACCATTCAGCAGAGGAGAAAAGTGATTATTTGCATGGTTGCGCCAACACAAAACAATCACCGAAGGGCAGATTCACAGAAAAGATCCCATGGTGGTACAAGTACACTCAGGAGAAATGTCAGAGGAAGGTACAAGAGGGCTTGTGTACTGAACAGTGTCATTAAGTCAAGTTAATGTTCGTTATAAATATGAGATTTATGATCACAAAGGAACATTTGTGACTAACAGGATGTGAGTTGTTGAGATTCTTTTTTTAATTCTTGCTTAGGTCTGCTTTATTGCTGCTGCTCATGAACTCTTTATTTTTAGGAGCCCAACAATTCCCTCAGTTCATATTCTAAATTTTACCTCGCTAGTAGAACATCACACGTTTTTCTATATCCACCCATCAGACATTTCTCCTTTTTTTTATTGTTATAGCCACAATCATCCCATTGGTATTTTTTTATCTTGGTGCTAAGGAAGGACAAGATAGCGTCATAAAAAAAAGTTCCACCATATAAAAAAAGATAAGACTTAAAATAAATAAATGAAAAACATCATAAACCCATTTTAACTCAGTTTGAGGACAAGCACACCTTGTTTTTAAAAGAATGCAGCCACGAAGGCTGTAAGTGTGTCTGTTTTCCCACAGAGAACGGTGGGCTCGGTGGTCTTAGAAGAGGAGAAACTAGTTTAATGAAATAGCTGTTGTCCATTGAGGAAAGGGAGGTTTTGGGGGGGGGGGGGGGGGGCACCCACGCTCGCAAGCTTTCTGCATTCAGAAACACAAAAGCACGCTTGTGGAGGCATTCCATAGTGGCACCGCGCACGGCCTTCAGACAAACTGTCAGTGTTGCTTGTTCCGAGGGAACGTAGATGTTTTACATCCGGCCAACTCAAATAAGAGTCGGTGCCAAGTCAGGTGGTCGATTGTGCAACAGATGTGACTTTTTCTTCTCTTAATGACTCCAGCGAAATAATCCTCGTCGGTTGGCAACAGGGGTTTGATGGCGTGACGCATACAAGTGTCACACACACACACACACACACACAGCGCAAACCCTCACGCATGCATGCAAGATGCCTCGTGTGACGGTTGTCCTGCTGGCAGGGCCATCTGTGGCCCTGCCACAGGCCTGTGAGTCAGCAATGCAGACAAAGTCCCGGGATTCAGGGATTTGCATAAAGTGTGTGTGCGTGTGTGTGTGTGTGTGTGTGTGTGTGTGCGCGCTAACCGAAAAAGAGAGAAGTTTGTCGGGTAAAGTTCACCGCAGAGGAAGTCGGCATTTACAGACGATGTGAGTGGATCTGCTTGCCTGAGTAAAGGGGAATTGTTGGGGGGGGGTGGTAAAGAAAAATGAGCATGCGCAAGCAATTAATTCCTCTCTTTGTAGCTGAGATCATTAATAACACAAACTAGAGAACGGGTTCATAGTCGGTTTGTGTGTTGGGCGAGTACGTGTGGGTGTGTGGACCTGTCCGGCTTTGTCTCAACGTGTCCTGCTCCATGTCCACGTCTCTCATTTATGAAGTTATTAAACCTTCTTTCGTTGTGTGAAGTGGAGAAACGTACAATAACCAAAATTTGTGTCTCAGTCTTCCAGGAGCGTCCTAAACTTCCTCCGACTCTGGCCCAGGCGACGGCCCGCAGCATCCCAGCGGAGGACTACTCCTACACGGCCTCCATCCTGAGGCTGCTCCGAAACAGACCCTTCATCCTCCTCATCATCACGTACGGTCAGTCGTCGGCCTTCCACACAGTAACATCCTGTATTCATTTCTTTTGTGTTGTGGTTTGGATTGTTAGAAACTACGGGAGACGATCTCTGAGTTTTCATTTATATTTTCTATCTGTAACCATTAAAGCTACAATATCTCATTTCTTTCCTATGCAATATAAAAGAAAAATGTGTTAGCAAACCGCTTATTTGCTCATCCAGAAGTTACAACGTTATCTTTCATTTGGAGTCATTTTGATGGCCACCTGATGAATGTGAGTAACATTCTTTTAGCTCTGCTTTTGGTCTCCACCCTCTTCTTTTGGACAAATGTAATTCGGGGCGCAGCATGCGGTGTTGATCTGAATCAAAAAAATATCCACATCCGTTGGTTTGAATATAATAATGGGAATAGAATGAGTGGGGAAATAAATGCTGCATAAGGGATATTTCCTTTAAGCATATTATTATCCAATAATATGGATTGAAAGTCTTACACAATCAGAGTAATTCAGTTATTAGTCGTACTTTTTTTAAACATAGACTTGGTTAAATATTGAATTATAATGACTCCCTTATTTAATTATCTTAACTGCCCTGTGACTGATTTTCCAAGCCGCCCTGTTTTATTATGGCCATAAAATCATTAAATATCATAAGAAAGATTGTTGTTTGAAAGTCAATAGAGACAGTTTTCCCTGGGAAGGTTCAACGTTTGCTTATAGTCTTGACACTGATAAAACGTGACCTGAAGATCCAACATTTCAGAAAGGTTTAAAGGTCCCTGCGATATGAAATTATGTTGCTGTCTCAGCCCAACAGCTGTGGGCAGTGAAAGGAAACGCTTCCCCTCCCCTGACCCCCCGAGCCGTTCCACATGACACCATGTGACCAGAAGTGCGTAATTCATGCCTGTCTTTTTGCACATGATTTTTAGGATAATCATGCAGTTCATATACCAACATTTCACTTTTTTTTGTGTGATTTTTTTTTATTTATTTATTTATTTTTTACTTGTGAACTTTGTTTGTCCCCGTGGAGCCATTTGGTGATCTGTTTGACTTGGATCCACCTGAGCTTGTCCCGCTCCTCTGCCGGCTGCCGCTCCACCTGTCTCCGTTTGTCCAACTCAGCTGCTGATCCTGAATATCTTGTTGTAGTGAAGTAAATAATACAAACTCACACAGTCCTATTTGATAAGTGCTTGTTTATGCGGAGGAAGGTTCTTTCTGTCCGGTTTACGTCTGCGCTGCAGGCGTTATCTTTTTTTTTTTTCTTTTTCCCAAGGATGAAACCTTCGGTGATGTTTTGTCCTTTTTTAGGCATCCTTGGTTTGGGACATTGTTTTGGAAACCGGAGGGACTCGGGCTGCTTTAGTGTTTTGTAATTCGGTGGGTCGTGGTGTTTTGCAGACAATGTTTGACGTTATTTCCCAACTCGCAGGTTTAAACGTGGGTTGTTTCTATGCTGTCGGCACCCTGCTGAACCGCATGATCATCGAGCATTACCCTGTGAGTCCCGCCTGCGTCTCTATGTGGACAAAGTACAGTGTTTTCTCTCCATTACCCAAAGCCCTCGTTACACCTCCCACAGTTTGACATTTCACGACTTGAAAAGCCGGTTCAGCTGTGATATTTAGCATTGCAAGGACTTTTCTTTATTGAAGCATCAACACAAGCTGCTGCTAAATATGTGTTTGTGGAACGATGTCGCCTGCCGAAGCTCCAATAGATTTTTGGATAAATGATAAATACGACACAACATTAATGTAGAGACTCACAATTCGTCTCAACTCCCTTGAAAGGATCTCTGCTTTGTCTTTAACCGCCTTTCACTGTGAGGCCATCGGGTCACTCATCCGTGTGCCGTCTTCCTCGACCCTTCAGGGAGAAGAGGTGAATGCTGGGAGAATCGGCCTCACCATCGTCATTGCGGGGATGGTCGGCTCCCTCATCTGTGGCATTTGGTTGGACAAAACTAAAACCTACAAGTAAGGCGGACGCTGGAAAGGAAAAGCATAAGAACGGCAGTTTTTCCTCCTGAAATATGTTTTTTACGAGGATTTGATCCGACTTTTTTTCTGTCCTGTGTCTGTTCACTCTGCTTGCCAACTCTTGCTTAGCGTGTGTGTGTGTGTGTTGTCTGTTTGTTAAGGTGCAGCATGCTGCTTAAAAAGTGATCTTGTTGACCTTGTGGGCCGTTTGGCTGTGAAGTGACAGCAGTGCTTCAGTCAACCGGCTTTAACGTCACTGGAGTTTTCTGCTTTTGCAAAACGATAACTGCAAAACTGGACCCATTGTTGTTCAATCCAGATATTCTGATATGCAGTTCATATGTTTAATTTAAACATTTTAATATTATTACAAAACCTTTTAGGATAAATGTCAAATTTCCTAATCGATAGCAATCGATATGGATTAGTAGAGTAGATTAGTCCGCTGCAGAGCTAAAATGCAGCAGCACTCTGAATTTGCCACGATGATGATTGTTTTTGAGTCCTTCACGTGTTGTTGCAGGCAGACAACCCTCGCCGTGTACTTCATGTCTCTGGTGGGGATGATCGTCTACGCTTCCACACTCAATCTGGGACATCTCTGGGTGGTCTTCATCACCGCCGGTTCGCTCGGGTATTTTTTTCATTTATTCATTCATTCATTCTTTTCCGTCCTAAAATCCTCGCACCGATTCTATTACGGCACGCTTCATGATACGCAGCCCGCGCATGCCTGCCGTTGTCAGTCAGTCATGTGACTCGGGCTGAACATTCTTACTCAAACGGGAAAAAAGCCGAATTGTTAATGGAGATTAAATTGGCTCCACGTAGCTCCACATTCCCGCTGGAATTCTTGGTATTCAATTCATGAAGTAAACCTTTTTCCAGTGTGTACAACATTGTCCCCGAGGAATTTCTATTTGTCTCTGCATCATTATTTTGTCCCTTACTTTTGGGAATACATTTGATTTGATCTTGTTATCAAATAATATTCAAAGGCATAGAGAGCGCCCATAAATGTCAAAGAAATGTGAATGAAACTGCAGAATGACACCGGCTTGTGTCATTAAGCCATAAACCAGTTGCTTAGTGTTACAGCGTGTTTGTTTGTGTGTGTCCAGGTTCTTCATGACCGGTTACCTGCCTTTGGGCTTTGAGTTTGCGGTCGAGCTGACCTACCCAGAGTGTGAGGGAACCTCGTCTGGACTCCTCAACTGCTCCGCGCAGGTGCAGCTCAATGTGTCCCTGAAGACGCCCCGTGGCCGATAAGCCCAGAGAGATAGCGGAGGAACACATTTCTTTTCCATTGATTTCACAAGGCGGTTAAACGTGCAGATAAGCTGGCCCCTTGCAGACCACGGGATCATTTATGAATCATGACCGCACCACCATTCACAAATAACTTCCGTGAAATGGTCGCTGAAGTGATCGTCAGGAAGCCTTACTGTTGTGATAAAGTGGAATTGAGAAGATGTTTTTTTTACGTCCGTCCTTTAAACCCCACCTGTTCCTCACTATTGCATTGTGGTCCGCATGCACAGGTGTTTGGCATCATTTTCACCATCTGCCAGGGGAAGATCATCGACGGCTTCGGCACGCTGCCGGGAAACATCTTCCTCTGTGTGTTTCTTCTAATCGGCGCCATACTCACAGGTGAGGCCCGAGGCGAAAACGGAGTAACGGCGAGCTTCCGATTTGACTCTTGAGGGACCGTTTCAAGGTCGAACGCTGTGACCGCGGAGAATGTTGCGCAATTATTGTTGGGTTCTCTTAGCGAATGAATGAATATGTCACGTATTAAGAAGGAGGCGGGTTTGACTTGGGAACGCCTCCTCCATAAACGACCACAGGCACAGTTCTTCCTCCTCATTCAATGTTGAGGAATGGAAAACTTTGCCTCATTCAGACAGGTGATTATCATACAGTCAGAAGCGCTGCACTAGCGGGTTAGATGAGGTCGGTCCATTTAAAGGATCACTAGGATGTTTGTTCATGCCCCATTGAGCAGTTGATGAGCGATGTATCACCTTTCTTCTTTTTTCGTTAGCCACTGAAGCAATAAACATTGTTGTAAAATGCTGGGGAAAAAAAATTCTAATATTATTGAACGTTTCTGCTCGCAAAGGTCAGCAGACTGTCTGACTCGCTGTCCCACTCGGCATTTAGACATACGAGTGAACTTCTTCTTTGAACCACAACTGAACTCCCGCTTCGGTGATGTATTCATTCACAAAGGTTACTCGTCAGCGAACACTTTCCTTTTCTGGGAATGCAGGTTAACGATTAGGCTTTACATCATTGTGCGTTAGCCGTACTGTATTTTCTTTATGTTTTGTAGCGTATTTCTGTGTACTCCCATGTGTCGGTCACCAAGAGCCACCTGCTGGACAGTCACCCTTTTTATTAAATTGTTTGTAATAAATCATTATATTTCATGTTCTGTTTTTGAATCTCCTGCAGATTTGACCTGTTCTGTCTTTATCTCCCCGTAGGCTTCATTAAGTCCGACCTGCGGAGACAAAATGCAAACCGCGTGGCCAAAGCAGCAGTAAGTGTCGAAAGCAAAAGTATAACGCTGTGGGTTTTTTTTTTTTTCTCATTTTGACACCTGAAGACAGGAAAAGCACAGGTGTAAATAACAGAATGAACAAAGGCTGAGTTGCGTTTAGCTTCTCCCACAGATGCATGTTCATGTTATCAGTAAAGCCTGTGCCTTTCCTACTAGCAGGTGAAAAACATGTGCTGTGCGTTTGCATGTCATTCATCGGCGTGCAGTCACACGTGTCTTCGTGTGCCGCTCCAGAAATAACTCTTGCCCCCCCCCCATTGTGTTGTCTATTTTTGTCGTCTCGCATCTGACTGCATGCCAGCCCCCATTTAACATTGGAATACGGTGGAATGCAGCCCGACGCCGTCTCGGCTGCAAAACCGAGCACGTTCGACGTGTTCGCCATCAAAACTCTTGATTTGACCTTCTTTTCTTTAGTCCTTTCCTGATCGCATGCCCTTTTTATTTCACCACCGCTGCATTGCCAACCGTTGCTCCATCGGCAGGTGACGCGATCAAGGCCATAAATTGTCGTTATTTATGCCCGTGTGAGTCTCCTGGGTGTGTGGTGAAGTTACTCGGGTTCCTCGAACGTCGCATCTTGTACAAAGACCCGTGTTTGAAGATGCTCAGTTCCTCGTCCTGACCCGGAGGCCCGTGCGCGCTGTGTGAGTAGTGACGGGTAGCTGTTGTTTTAGGCGGAGAGGCTGATGTCGGGACAAGACTACGGAGCCACGGCGCTCGTCTCCCAGCCGGACGCTCCTCCTGCAAAGCACGATCAATAAACCTTTCTGCTTCCACGGCAAAACAAAATCTCCTCAAATCTTAGCTGCACACGCAAACGCTCACAGGTAAATCACATGCACAGCCTTCACCCTCTCCCTGTTGAACCTTCCCTTCTCTCACTCTGTTGCCCTAAATCACACTTCAAGTCACACAACGGGTGTAACTATGGAAGCCTTTTCCACTCGGCCTGTTTCAGTTTGGGATTTTTTTACTTTTTCTAAGCAACTACATCTGTGTGTATTTTTCAGTAACGTGTTCTCTTCATTTTCTTTGTGTACACAATGTGCTTAGCGATACCTTTTTAAAGTCTACAAAGATTGAGCACGTCGGAAGCAAATAATGTGCTGTGACGTTGAGCTGAGTCTGTTTTTTATTTTTTATGGGCGTCACTTATTGGTCAAATTCTCAAGACTCGCCCCCCCCCAATTAACTTTAACATCTACAGTGTGTTGAATCCATAAAACCGTTGAATTAACGAGACCTGTTTTGATTGATAGCGACCTTCCGACCATCACGCTGAGAGCCCGGCTGCAGCGCCCATCATCAGCGAAGCCAAGTTTTAAATGCACAGTAACGCAAAGGCCTTGAAAAGGGCCCCAATCTCCATCTCGTTGCAGTGTAATGTAGCACGACAGAATCCGGAGGTCTTCAGACCACTTCTGAGAAGAGTGGGATTTACCGTGTCGTAACTTTTTATAAATGAAAAAAATTATGTTAAAGCTCATTTCAATCTGATAATGCACAATTTTGATGTATGTATAAATTCAATATATCTATAAAATGTCATTGTAAATTGAGATTTTCTAATATATGTGAAACATTTGTACCTCAACAATTTTACCTTTCAGTATTTTAAGTTTTTAGTTAATTATGTACAACTCTAATCACAAAGGCCATCTCCCAAAATCACGTTACATTATTTTTATATATAATATAATATATATATATATATATATAATATATATATGTGTGTATATATATATATATATATATATATATAAATGTAAGGAGACCTTTGTGAATAAAATAATGTCTGAAGCTGAATATTATGAAGCTTTTCTAATCCGTGCCAGTCCACCGTAAGGGATGAAATATTCATTATACACTGTTTTGTAATATAATATTAACATATTCATGTTTACTTGTTTAACATGAAATAAAAGTTTAATTACGTGTCTTTTTTTTCATTTACTCCCATGTTTTACATCGTAATTCGTCATGGTAAAACTACTTGGATAAAAGCCGTAGATCATTTAACAAAATCTGATATTAGAAAAATAGAATGTCCTTGTTTGTAAAGAATACAATTCTCTTCATCCAAAGATGGATCACTAAGTGATTACAGCTGACAACTGGGATGGACTCTGACCCCTAAAATGTATGTTCAACATCCCCCTTTGACTGGTGACTAAGACGAGATCTTTAAGACGAATGATTCATCTTTCACTATTGATCAAGGATGTGAACTCGGCAGGGGAACGTTGGTGATGGCATCGAGACCTTTGGTCGCCCTTTATCTCTTTATCCCTCTCACTAAGTTGATAAAGAGTAGACTTCTTGTATATCTAGAGATCCATATTTTCATTTGTGAATGAGATTTCAGTAGCAGAGAACCAACGAGGCACCTGGTGGAGATGTCAACTGCTTGACCTCAGACCATTGATGCATTTTGTGGTGCACTGGGAAGGGACCTCCAGCTTGCAAATACATAATAAACACGTTCACCAATACAACAAAACAAAAATGAGACTTAATTGGGAAATGTGGATCGCAGAATAGTGTCTAGATGTCTGAAAAATGACAATTCGCAAATACGAATTACTGCTAATCGCTTAAGTTAATATCAGCAGAGAACGATTCAGGCCCAGAATGCAGTTTATGAACGAAATACCTAATAGAGGTTCAATAAAACGTTTATTATTTGAAACGTCAGTCTCGGGACTACAGATCACCAAATTCAAGCCAATGAGGACACCTAGTGGCCAACAGGAGTCTCACACCGTGTGTCCCTGAACAACGCACACAAATGCTTTGGCGCGTACAATTAAGTGGTTGCATCGTGGTCCAGCTTGGTTTGTGTAAAACGAAACTTAGAACTGGTTTAATGCACCGCCAGTAAGCGCGCTAGGTGACACAAATCAAACGCACCCGTGACGTAAACACACGCAGGTGTGTTTCTGGCAAATCCAACGCCACATTGAAGGATTCATTTGTGCGGATTTTCACTGCAGTTTAATTCACTACAACACGTTAAAAACACCAAGGAACGCAGTGGTTCAACTACTGGGTGGACTGGTTATACTGGGACAGGCAGACTGGCCCTATTTGCTTACAGGAGACATGAGCCTCGTGCAGATTGATGAGGACTTTCTGCTAATTGAAGCTGCTGCTGATCGGTGAGTAGTCGACGATAACAAATCATTGTGGAAAGAGTTTTATAGTGAGTATTATTGTTCATAGTGTCTAATTGATTATATATTCATGTTTCATAATCCGTTATATGTTCAGGCTGCATTGAACATTCTGTAGGAAATGATGACTGATTTTCTTATAGTTTAAGTGCATTTTTACCAAACTAACTTTTAATTTGGCAAATAAAATAATTTAAATGTTGACCCGCAACAACTGTTGTAATTCTTTTGAATTCAGGACTTTTATTTATAAAGGATTATTTTTCAGACATTCCTGAACATCTGTTTGTTCTGGATCATTCTGTTTTGGACCCTTTTCTTTTTCTTTTATTTCCTCCTTGTTTGTTTTGTTGGGAGTTGTATTAAGGGTGAACGTATGCAGCATCACCGGGCATTCATATGATTCTAACTTATTATCCATATGCCTTTCCCTTCTGTTGTTGTAACAGGCCTGTATGTTGTTACCGCTCTTGGCCACATGGCGGCAGCATCGTAACACTCAATAACACTCATGAACGAGCTGAAGGTTCCAGGTGAGAGAAAAACAGTCAGTCTCACATTAAGATTTGTTATATTGTTATTCAATACGCTCTAAAAAAAAAAAAATACAGCAAAGTGCCGCTTTGAGTGAAGTACTTAATGAAACTTCTCGTTGGCATGAATAGAGATAACGTTGCCTCTGAGCAGCTCTGGTGTGAGATCATCCTGACTGGAGGCCAGTACTCCCATTTGACTGATTCTCTCATGATCTCATTGTTCTCTAGTTAGCTAATGACTGATCCTTGGCATGCGTGGTTCTCTCTGTCATGACTTTTCATTGGCACCACAGGTTCATTTGCATGTAGATCTTCGGATTATTAATGCGAAATGCAGTTGCTAGGATAACATACAAAAAAAATACAGTTCTTCGCACTTTTTTGGGGGGGTTCGTAGAAATTCGCCAACTACTGCCAGTCATCCGCCATGATTCAGATGCTACTCTTGTTATTCGAACGCTTTAGTTCTGCAGAGGAGCACGAGGGGGGGAAAAGGAGGGATTTCTGTTTTGGTTGTATCTGAGGAGGGCGCGCGGCTGACATCGCGTCACTTTTTAAAAGATTTTTTGTTGTGTACTATTCGCTCTGTGTCCCGCGCTGCCTTTTTACGAGTGTGGAATATATGAACTGTAGGCAGGAAGGTCACAGGAGGACGAGCGGGGTGTGACCTCGGGCTGCTGAAGGCCGGCCCACCGGCATGCAGCGATGGATGTTTGAACAAGAGCCCTTGTATGCATATGGCAACGCTCTGCTTGGAAGGACTTACTGTACATGCAAACAGCCCGGTCACTTGGTTCTTACTTACTGGGCTTTTGCTTGTTTGTTGTTGTTTCTTTGGTTGCTTGATTTTTTTTTTTTTTTTTACTTTCTGCATTGAAACTGGAAGGGCTTCTCTTAATGCAGATAGAGGCTGGTGTGAAGGAGGTTGGAAAGAGGATTAAACAGTCTTTTATTTTTTATTTGTTGACTTTATTTTGCTGATGTTAGGACACGGTGAGAGGACACCGGGCTTCATCCACTTAATGCTTAATGACTCGGAGACAAACGCACATCATTGCCTCTGATAAAATAAATATTCCCTGGAGGTTTAACTAAGAAACTACTGATACACTAATCGGTGGTAAATTAAAGAGATAAAACTAAAGCGGTAACTCATTCTACTCATGCAAAACATACAATATTGACTAAAAGGAACATTTCTGAAGTGGCAATATCGTCCAAATTCGCTTTTAAGGATAAAGTTCTCTGTCAAGAAAAAGTTTTGAGGTTTTGGGAAATGCGCTTTTCTGCTTTCCTGCCTGACCAGAGAACGGGAGGAAATTGATGCCCCCGATCTTGCATCTATCATCTCCTAAACCGACGAGATGATTAGCTTAGCTTGGCACGTTCTCCATACCGAAATAAGAAAAAAAAAAGGACAGTTTGTGTTTTTCGGAGGGAGAGCAGCAGTTTGTTGATCAACATGTTTGATCTGTCGCCGCAGCAACTCCACGCGGAGCCTCTGCTGGTGGGCCGTAAATCAAGACCACAGGTTGTTGTTTCTTCGAAATCTGTTTGTGGACAGATTAAACAAACTTGTTAGTTAGGGAGGTTTAGAAGTGCTGGGCGGCTTTTCTTATACCGTAAACAAATCCAGGCCTGCTGCCCCCCCCCCATCCCCGTCCTCAAGTCTTTTAAATCTCCCCCCAGATGGGAACGCACTGTTCAAACTGGGCTGCGGGTATCAGCTGATTTCCTTCTTCTCCAAAAAGGTCTCTTACAAACACACCGATGGTTAACTCTGCGATGCTGTTGCACGAGGAAGTACGTCATGGGGGCCCCGAGGGCCCCATGACGCTATCGGCCCTGCTGGCGCTTCTCAGATGCTATCGGCTACCCGCGACCACGACGCGTCCTGCGCCCATAAAGCCGACGCCGCTGCAAGAAAATCCTAAACCCTGTGTTTATTCTGATTGGCGCGGTGGGAGGGAAAGGCATTGAGCGGAGAGTTGTCTGTTAGGTTGGATTTAAGGACCATTATGGACCGGACCGAAGGCCTTCTGCAAAGAATTAAACCACCAATTTGTTCCAAAAAAACCCGCCGCTGTTCAGCATCGGAGCGTGCGCGGCCATTAGACTCGTAAAGCATGAGCTGGGTGTTTGAGGCGAATGCAGCATGACGTAGTGCCTCCTGTATTTGTTGCTTTGTTCAAACACCAGCAGAGATTAATGATCTTAAGAGGGCGCTGTGTGCACCCGAGCATAGCAAAACAAAAAGTGAAATAGATGAAGTCTTAAAGGGGGAAAAACTGCAGAACCTCTCCGGGCGAGGAGGATGCTGAAGGATCTGCAAAAGAAAACGGTAGAAAGGGAGCAGGAGGAAAGTGAAACACAAGTAAGTGCAGTAAAGGCCGTGTCCTACACAGATGGCCAGTCGTTGCATTTTAGAGAGGCTGCTGAGGGAGCACCTCATCCACGCAGAAACATAACTCGCCCAACCGGTGGACCGTGGGGGAGGGAGGCGGTGCTGCTAAAGGACCTTGAACCGATTCTTGCTGTTGGGCTGTGGCTCGGCGCCAGAGGAGCTGTGCTCGGTACCAGTGTGTTTTCTGCTTCCCCTCCAGGAAATGATGTTATGAAAGTCCAAACGTGTGCTGTTCTGTGCTGTATTTGTCAACTATTGGATCACGCACGAGGGGTGGGCGGAAGGGGGGGGCCGGGGGTCCTCCAGTGATCCCAAAGAAGCCACAACTCTTCTGGTTCTTATAATACATCTTGGCCTCATAAAGATAGATGAAAAAGGGTTAGAATTTGTGCAAACTGCCCTCGTCTGAAGTTCTGACATTTATTAAAGATTTCTTTAAAAAAAACAAAAAAAACAACACAAAATAACTGCTTAAGC